TTCATTTATTTAGGCCTCGTTGAGTAGCAAGCCTACTCTTGATGTGATTGCACAATATGATATAACTTTATATAAAACAGGGGTTTGAAAGTAAGCAAACTTCCTACCTTTCATGGAATATTATATTTTTTTACTTGAGTTTGCCATAGGCATAGTGCACAGCTATAATTCTGAATACCTTACTTCAGATAATTGAGTAATGTTAATAAGGCGAAGTCCAGCTATCTAGCCAAATTATTCCTTATTATTTAATACAATATTAAGGCAAGACTTAAGTAATATGATATAATTAGGACTCACAAACTTTGATGAAGAAGGATGCAAATAGTGATAAATCCATATAGGATTATAGCCCTCAAAAATGAAGATAGATAACAGTTTTTGGTACGTAACGTCTGCTTATTATCGAATTAACAGTAAGTGCTTAATAATTTTATGTAGATTAAGGTGATTGTAGATATGAAGACCAAGATTGTGTGGCATTTTGTGTAGTTGTAGTCCCATTTCTTCGTATAGAAGTTATTTAAACTTGTTCTCGCAATTTAGTCGTATTGGTAGGAAGACTTAGAGGAACGCACCTAATTCGAAGTTCATTATATGCATGATAATTTACAGAGTCAGATAGTTGCCGTAGTAAATTCCCAGACGCTGCTCTTGTATCGTAGTCAGCATCATCAGTGAGTCTTACCAACTTGTCAAAGAGACAAGTGAAAACGAGTATTTTACGAATAATCTACAAAACAATTGTGAGATGTCACCTTCCCCACTTGCGAATAACCAATCCTATATCCTCGAATCACGACTTTAATTTCACTATTTTTACTTTCTTATTTAATTGTGGTATGCTGTGCTATTTTGAGCCGCTTTACTGAACACTCTCTACACTCCCCGCTTGGTTTCTCACCGCCTCACTGAGCCCACCCCCAGTCACCCTTGTGCTGGGAATGTTGATTATGGTATGTCATATTGTTACGCAGACCTCCTTTTCTGGGTCTCATCAAAGTCTCTGTCTTGCCCAGTAGGATCCGTTTCCTATCTCTCTTGTTCAAGTATTTCACTTCCGCCTATCACCCCATCTATGCTACTCGAAGCGTTATTTCTCAGACCCTGTGGATGGGTCAGAGGCTAAAGCCTCTGAGTAACTCTTATTCGCAAGTATTCGCTTCATGTATCACGTCTGTGGTAGAACAGGCCTACTGTTAGCCAACTAGCTACGACTAACATACAATGAATTCTGGGACGAGGGGTTGGACAAACTGACACAGATTTGCCTTAATAACGCGTACCTCAGAGAATTTATAGAAAAAAATGTACATGTTATAGATGGCAGATTCCAACTCGGATTTGATGAAAATCATATCAGGAATCAGGACGACCAGAGGTGGGTTTGTCTACCCTCATCAGAACTGAGCCAACAATTGCTATTATTATTAAGGAAATGGAATATCAAGGGGATAACAAAGGAGAAGAAAACACTATTCATCAGTCTGCCGACGCAATCTTACCCAGATAGGTAAAAATTTCCTCTAAGTACTATAGGGTATAGTTTATTATTTGTATCCTTTTTTATGGGAAATATTAAATGAATTTTATACTACGAATTTTTTTCCTAATGAGTCATGATATCTGGTTTAATGTAATTATATAATTATGATGTTTCATTTGCAATAAATGCACACTTATATTAAATATTATAGTTTATTGGTCCAAATATTTTAATTAGTTGTGTTATGCACAACGCTAAAGATACCATTTACTTCTTTAGTTTGTAGTGTTTTTATGCTCACTTTTACACCAGCCCTATTTGATCTTCTCTGATTGGTTTCGTTTCTTTATATTGTGATCCTTTTTATATGGCTTCCGGTTCTGCATTCAGTTGTGCCGTGAAAACCTTGCAAAAAGAGCTAAAGGAATTAAATGAATACCCTGTAGAGGGATTCCGAGTTAATCTTGCTGATGAAAATAGTCTTTTTGTATGGGACGTCGCAATATTTGGTCCGCCACAAACTCTCTATGAGGGTGGATACTTTAAAGTAATTCTTAGTCTGATCTTTATTGTCATATATAGGCTTGGCTTACATTTCCTCATGATTATCCATACAATCCTCCCACAATGCGATTTGCAAGCAAGATGTTTCATCCAAATATCTATGAAAATGGTGAAGTATGTATTTCCATTCTGCACCCTCCTGAAGATGATCCGCATAGTGGTGAACTTGCATCAGAGCGATGGAATCCCACTCAAAACGTGAGGTAAGTCTTTCAGATTTCTTACTTCACAGAACCATTCTCCTTAGTGTTATATCTCTTTTGAATGAACCGAATATAAACTCCGCCGCCTATGTGGATGCTTCCGTTGCTTATAGAAACTGGAAAGAATCAGGAGGAAGAGAAAAAGAATATGAGACTACTGTAAGGTGAGGAATAGAACGCGTGTGCTTTCTCATACTGGCTTTGTTTAAAGGCTTTCTATAAATATCTCTTCCCATGTGAATAATACATTTTATTATTCAGGTCGTTTGTCGAGTTGTCCCAGGCTGAAGCTGTACGGGATGGCGTCCAGGTTCCCCGTACTATCGAAGAATACTGCCAGCTTGGCCGATCCAATCATGAGAAATCAAAAGTCGATAACAATGTACTTAACGATAGAGGATTTGCTGATTTTGTCGAAGATGATGATGATTACTGTTTTTGCGTAGATGACGATGATTGTGAGCTTGATGCTGATGAAGATGAGATATGTCGGGATAAATTTGTAGAAAGGCAGATTCTCTCAGGTGATGCCCTTGATAGTACCCCTGAGGAGCAGCCGGTGCATTCGATTAGCTTGTCTTTTGGTGAAATCCCTCTAAAAAAGACTGTAGCTGAGTCTGGCAATACTTACTGTGGCGGTCGAGAGGGTACATTGGCCAAAGAGGGAAGTCATTAGAGCTGTTATTCTCATTAAAGTGATATTAACGCATATTTTCGTATTTAACCCGTTTTCTTATATATATATCTTAGGTAT